GTGTGTGTGTGTGTGTGTGTGTGTGTGTGTGTGTGTGTGTGTGTGTGCCATTGAGTCAACATTAATTTCTGGTGACTGCCCAGATTAATCCCTACAGTTTTCTAAGCAAGATTTTGAAGGTGGTGTTCCATTGCTGCAGTGGTGGGATTCAAATTTTTTTACTACAGGTTCTGTGGGTGTGGCTTGGTGGGCATGGCAGGGGAAGGATACTGTAAAATATCCATTCTCATCCCACTCCAGGGGAAGGATACTGCAAAATCCCCATTCCCTCCCCACCCACTAACCTGCTTTCCAGCTCCATTCTCCTGTGCAGGGCAACAAAAGAAGACCCAACCAATCAGCTGGGACTTGGGAGGCAGAGAATAGATGGGGGCGGAGCCAGTCAGAGGTGGTATTTGCCAGTTCTCCAAACTATTCAAAATTTCCACTACCGGTTCCCCAGAACTGGTCAGAACCTACTGAATACCCACCTCTGTATTGCTGGCTTTCTGGGGCTGAGAAAGAATGACTGGCCCAAGGTTCTGCAGCTGACTTTGCTGTCTAAGCGAGACTAGAATTTAAGATCTCCTGGTTTTTAGCTTGATACTTTAACTGCTACACTAAATTGACTCTCAGTATTGTTTTACTTACGTTCTTAGTATTTGTATTTTAATGTTATGTTTTATCTGTCTACTTGCAATAGTTTTCCAAAAACATTTGGAAGGCACACATTCCTCTACATAAAGCAACATCTGCTCTGAAGAAGAGGCAGTTTCTTTGATAACCTCTAGAAGACAGCAGAGGAAAGGGAAAATAACTAAAAAAATTCACTCTATTCTATTGACAGATGTCTTGTATCAACAGAAGAGCATCTATTGGATAATTCATTTGTCAGTATCAAATTTTATAATATATTGCAATTGTGATACTAGTACTTTCCTCAACTATAAAGAGCTTACTGCTTATAAGCAGTATCCTAAATGACAGGAAGTGACCTTCCTATAATCTTCTCGGCTATCCTTACCACTCTCTGAATGGACTTTCTTTCTGAGGCACTGCATCCACCAACTTATTAAATACTAAGTTTGAACAATCCTATCCTTGTCTAAATGTGTATGTATCTCTCTCCCCATGCACACATACATATAGGCAGGGCTCATACAAAATTTTAATACAAAACATATATAACATACATTATATATTTATTCAAGTGGCAGATGTATTTTTCCCTATTACTTACCCCTGTTCTCTGAACTTCCAAAAAGATTGCTCTTTGAAATGATTTCTCCCATATTGCCAGCTCACTTCCTTGTTCCACATTAAAGTAATGACTCTTGCCATGTCCAACCACAACACTGAAACAATATGGCCTCTGGTTTTCAAGCTCATAGTCTTGGTGAATACCCAAATATAAATTTGCTTGTAGCCAACAGTCATTATTGAGCCAGAGCTGAAAGATATATTTTTGAAGATATTTCATCTAAAGTAGAACAAGAATAATTTGATCCTGTAGAAATAAGTCATTGACGTTTGGGAGTCAGCCTTCTTGCATCAGAATCATGCTGATATTTCACATTGTTAAATTGAGAAATTATAGTGGCTCTCTTTCTTCCACAGCCTCTTTTCATTTTTCCCCCAAAGCAGGAATTTCCAGTTCTAATCAGTTCTAATCTACCTATCTGTTTATCAATCACATGCTAACACCATCCATTAACATCTGAATAGCCTAGATCAGTGATGGCTAACCTATGACACGCATGTCACTTGTGACACGCCGAGGCACTTTGACTGACACGCCTGTTAGTGTGGGGAAAACCTGCACATTTAGAGGCTGCCTGTGCTCTGCTCCAATCCCTGCTCCCTGCTTGTTGCGTGGAGGCGTGGTGTCACCGCTGCCGCAAGATCTTTGCAGCAGAGAACCAGTTTTAACCGCCATAAACTGAGGTTTGTCAGTTTCATTACCTCAGGAACGCTACAGGAGGAAAGGAGATCCATGAGGTTCACAGCCCTGTAAGGTGGCCTTCTGATCCCCACATCCTGCACCTGCAGCCCTGAGACCAGGGAGACGAGTTTCACAGTCCTGTGTGATCACCCCAGCCCAGTCCATCATAAACCAAATTATTGATATTTCTTGAAGTGACACACGACCCGAGGAAGGCTACACTTTTTCCCGATTTCGACACACCAAGCTGAAAAGGTTAGCCATCACTGGCCTAGATCTCTGCTAAAAGAGAAAATGTCCTGATCCTGGTGGCTTTCATTCATTTGATTTGCCCTACATGTTGGAAAATAACAAGCATCAGCATCAGAAAGTCATATGTTGACTAGACTGAGGCACATCAGATTAATAAATAAATTCCTACTGCTGTAACATTTCATGCAGAGGAAGGTGAAGAGGGAAGAAAAGAATGCAATGGTGTGTTCAGATATCCTTCTAGGCAGTTCTCATTTCAACAGCAGAGACAGGCTGAGACCCTTAGTTAGCACCTGTCTCCAAGTGATACATTTATAATCAATATAACTGGTTAGTGGGACTTGACTCATTTTCTGCACACAATACTGAAATTGTAGAATGGGAAAAAGTATGAATATAAATCTTTACTGGAAAATGAAACAATATATTAATCCTGATGCAACAGTATATTCTTGACCCAAGAGATCTACTTTATTTATTTAAAATGGAAAAGGGAACCTTTAGCCCAAGGGCCACATTAAATCTGCACATGTCTGAGATATACTACTGAAGCCTTCTTTGCCAGAGCCTTTTCTGCTTAGCTTGAAAGCAGCAGTCAGAGCATAAGGAAAACTGAGTACCAGCTAGTTAAAAAAAAGTCTAAATATCTTGTAGAAAATGAAGTTTCTCCTTTCAGACTGCTACTATTTTTTAAAGCTGCATAGAAGGCAATCTTAAAATATTCCCGAATAATTGCAAAATAGCTTAAAATTACCACCATTACAACTATAAAGCAGCTGATTTTAATCTAAGCAAAGATACATTCGACAGAACTTCACTGTCCAATTGAAATTAGTGGAGTACAGATGTGATGGAAGGAATGCTAAGTAAGACGAGCAAATCTGTAGGCCATTTCTAAAATGGGATGAATAGTAACATGCTGCTAATTCAGATGTGATAAATACTGCTTAATTAGAATGAACATCTAATTTATGATGATAAAATGACAAATAGCAAGACAATAACATGAAGATACTGTATATTTACACTCATACGTGTTTGCATTAACACTGTTGCTTGGAGCAAACAAAATCTTCATGCTGATTGATTTTAATAAAAAGTATCCTTTTTAAGAAACTACCCATATAAATCAGGTAAATCAAGAAAGCCAAGGTCTTAATTATAAGTTGTAATTACTATTACAGATTACTTTATTTAAACATGTTCATAATCAGGTAACTGTACAGCAGCATTGCTGGGAAAATTTACTATTAATGAAAAACTATTAAATAGTGGAATTACTTAATCCATTTAACTGAAAAAGCCTAAAATATTAGATGTCAATAAGAAAAAAACAGATTTAGTTCATCTCAGTATTAATATTATGTATATACACAGAGAGAAGTGTTGTTCAATGTTGATATATAATGTGCCACTTCTACATGAATAAATAAAAGTCACGTATTATGAATATTTATGCTCTTCACTTCTATATGGAAAATAATTTCAATATGTTAATTGCAAATATCATAAATGAAATTATATAATGTTAAAAATTAGAACTGAGAGTTCAGTACAATCTATGACCACCATGTTATAATTTTTTTAGAGTGTATGCCTCTCTTTGGGTTAATATTGTTCAATTCATATTTCACCAGCTCAGATTCTGATAGTGTGTGACTTGGCACTGAAAAAAAGTTAAGTAAGATGTTTGCCAAGCTGGAGAAGAAATTGTTCATTTCTACATCCCAGTGTTACATTTTTTTAAATTAGATGCAGTTTATGGACTTGTAGATGTGAAATGATTTTGAAAATGAACTCACACTTGGAACTTTTCACTTGTTATGACAGGACTTTATCCAACTGAAACACTAGGTTTGATTTCTAAAACCAAGAACAAATCAACTTCCAAATTACTTGAAGCCATATTTCCAGTATTTCCAATTTTTCAGTTTTAAAGTGCCATGCTTTTGGAAAAAGGACAGAAAAGAGACTCATTCCTACTTCCAGGCCCCGTTACATGAAGCATATGCTTGCTAACTTAAGGCCAAGGCCTTAGGAATGATGAAAAGGAGGAATTTATGAAAAATTATAAATAGAAACAAAATAAATATTACAAGTTGACCAATCCTGATGACCCTTAATGATAAAGATTGTCAGAATGAAGCTTAACAATATATGATAATGAATAGCAAACTCCAGTAGCAGAGACCTATGTATGTTCATTTAGACTTAAAACGACTTTTACTATTCACTGGTTTTAAAACACTCGTAAAGTAATGATGCAGTAAAGAATCTATTAGTCTGGAAATGTTGCTAATAATGAATGTTTCCAACATTCCTCACTACTGACTACATTGGGGCCACTCAAATTAATAAACTCAGCAAAATTTAGGAGGCAGTAGGCCGCAATTTCTCCCTCCAGATACTCAGTTGTCTGGAATATATTTGGAAAAATAAATTTGCAGTGTTGTCTATTCTATAGATGTACTGTAGCCCCTGTATACATGTTTCTGAATAATATTAAATACTAAATACTATATGATATGATATTAAGGATTAGAATGCATTCTAGTTTGTACATGGGAGCAGGGGTGGGATTCTACTTTGGACTTATTTGGGAGAATCCCTTGCTCCAACGATCAGCTGGCAGCGAACCAGTTTGCTGTGACGAGCATGTGGGCCTGCCTGCCCCTGCTCTTTCCTGTGCTTTATTTCCTTTTTTTAGAGCACAGCTGATTCGCATGGCAGAGCATTTTGCCACACCACAGCTGCTTTATTCACAGAGACTGCTGTAGAAGGAAAGTATTAGAGCTTTTTAAAATATGGAGCATGCGCGAAACACGCGATCCCCAAATCGGTTGTTTTACTGGTGGAATCCCACCCCTGCATGGAAGGGCTACAAATTATTATTTGGGGAGAGTCATGGGGCAGGGAAGAGAACCATTAGCCATGGAATATTCATGTGAATGTACTAATGATAAGATATGCCAATTTAATAAAGACAAATCATCAATGGGTTAAGTAGAATAGGTGGCATCACCTGGCTGAGTTAGAAACTAGTAATAGCTGGATGCAAGACTAACAGGGACATCAGCTAGACTAAGAAGTGAAAAAAATATCTCAGAAAAAATCAATCCAAACAACTTTTGTACTGTTATCTAGAAAACTGTTTGAATGTTTATTTTTTTTATTTTTTTTATTTTGTCAAAAGCTTACAATAGAAATAAGAATAAACATAAGTTTAAATATAAGAAATAGGAACTAATAATTGGGGACAATAGGACTAATAATTGGGGACAATACAGACCTTTTAGGAATGGGGTGAGGTCAATAGAGGTTAGTTTGAGGGTAAAGGAGTGGAGGTTTGAGCAGGTGACAACAGAATCAGGTAGTGAGTTCCAGACATTGACCACTCTGTTGCTGAAATCGTACTTCCTGCAACCAAGTTTAGAGTGGTTTACATTAAGTTTATATCTGTTGTGTGCTCTTGTGTTGTTGTGGTTAAAGCTGAAATATGTCCATAAAGACATCAGGAGTCAACCAATACTTGAAGGACCCTTTACCTCTAGTGGTCAATAGCAGGAGAATTATGGGGAGAACAGATTCCCAGAGATTTAGTGCACTGCAAATTCATGACTGGTAGAGAAACGAAAGACCATAATATATATTGTTGACCTGCCAATGAAAAATTCCACAGCTAGAGAACCTCTACAACTGCCTGCAAAGAGCTGGGGGGAGGGGCAGTTGGAGATATTCAAGGTCCCCCAGGAATTCAATCAAATGGTCTGTGGAGGATACATCAACTTCTCACTCAGAACAGAAAACAGCTTAAAAGAGTAAATGGAATCTTTGAATTTGTAATGGGGAAGCCTTAATCTTTTTTGAAAACCACATTTATCCCAACTTAATTGATTTGCTCTAAGTTTCCTTCATTATCATTTATACTGAAATGTTAACAGAACAGAGGCTAGAGTTGCACACTGACGCTTTTATTTTCAGTTAATATATTCATGAAGACTGACAATTCAGTATTCATTTATTAAAATGTCAAAAACACAAAGTACTGAATCCTGAGCAATTTATTTCCATTTTTCTTCACTCACCAAAATAACATCCAGTGTTAGAATTTGCTTTTACTATGTAGTTTTTAAAATTAACTTTCCCAAAATATCTAGGCAGTCAGGAAGTATGAAACAATACAGAAAATTATGTATATTTTTTAAGAGGTCAACTGATCTATTAATGGCCTCTGAAGCATTCATGGGGAAGCAGCTTTGAAGAGGAATTGCTAATACTCCAAGTATAAAGTTTAATTTTTCATTTTCCCTTTATAAATCTAAAATCTAAAAGGTCAGCAAACAATTTTACATTTTTTTTTTGTAACTTAAGTTTCCAGGAGGTTTTCATCAGGTTAAGTGGTTAAAGAAACCCAGAAAAAAAGAATAGAATGGAGGAGTATTGTTGATATTAACTGTTTTACTGTTTTGCAGTCTTAGATAATTTATTTGAAATATATCATGCAAGGTAGGTGATATTAGTTGTAATATTATCAAGTTACATCCATCCAAATAATGACAAAATAATTGTTGATTTTCCTCCTTTTTTTCTGGAGTTTTCATAATCACACTCGATGAAAAGCTTTTGGAAACTAAGTTTGCAATCATTACACAAATGTCTTGCCTCAATATGAATTTTGTATTATTTTAATGCTGTACAAAACATTTTATTTGAAATGTTCCAATTCAAAATGCTGTGTTCCAATTTTAAAAGCTGTTTCTGGCTTTATCATAAGAATCCTGATATTCTTATGAACTTTCCAGAAATGTTTGAACTATTTTAATTAGTTTTCACTCTCATTGAGATCAGAAATAGAAGTTTTGAAGTCAAATAGGAGAATTATGCATTTAAAGCATTTCAGACTTGAAACATTTTACACATTCCTAATTTTTCTCCATTCCTGATCAGCATGGCATTTTTACATATTATTTTATGAAGATTCCTACTCTGTTTTTAATGGTAACACTTTACATATATGCATGATTTAAACAAGATAAGTATCTAAATTAAAATAAAAAGCAGATATGACCATGGAACATAAAATCCAAAGCAATCCATAGATGATGTGATGGTTTAAATCATCAATATTATCACATGGATTACAAATGATGTAATTCAGAAAATGTTCTGTCTTTTCTACTGGAAAATCTATCCTGTTTATTTTGATTGGCAACTATTCTGTCACTTCTTCAATCTACATGAGACCCTTTTTCCTGGAAATACCATCAACAGTGAGAAATTTTGCATGAAACATTTTTTTAGGACAAAGCTGAGGACAAAACTACCAGATCAAAGTGATAAAAAAGGGCAATGTCACTTTCGCATTATACAAATCCACAATAATTTACTGTTAATATTGGCTAAATTTATTCTAAGTTTTCTTCAGTAAATAATTAACATAATATTCTATATTGAATATTTTATTATTCATAACTTACCTACCTTGTGAATTTTAAATAGAACCTCACAGAGGTTATACGTTTTTTCAGCTCGTATCCAGTCTAATGTGCTTACCTGTACAGCCAAAAGAAAATGTTATTACAGTTTCATACTTTTTTTGCTTAACAAAAAATTATCCTGCTATTATATATAGGTTTTTTTTTCCATTTCTTTGAAAAATTGTTAATCTATTCATTTGTATACACTAATTAGCTGAAAGCTGTGCACTAAGTTCTTTCAACAAGAGATGAGCATGAAGTTAGAAACTAGTATTTGTAATGTTTTAATAGGTTTTTTTCCTTTTTAAAAGACAAATAGTGGAAATTTTGGCTCTTAGCTAGATATTCAAATTCTTCGTGTTTTGTTGTTTATGACCATTTTCTCATCAATGATATACTGAGCATTATCTGTACAATCTCAATAATTTCTTTGTACACTCACCGATTCTGTATTATATCTCTTGTTCTTTTTCTCCTTTCACTTGTTTGTTTACCTTTTCATTACTTTTTTTAAAAAATAAGATTAAATCTACAAAATAAAACCAAAACACCCCTCCACATGTACTTTTTTTTTTAAAGCAGAGAACTTGTGCATATATAATTCCACACATTATTTATCTTGAGGTAATAATACTAATTGTATCCTATCTTTATATGGGAAGAACACAAATATAGAGATAAGTGCAAAATTTGGGCCTTAAATATAATTTATGCATATATCCCATTTTTCTTTTGTGAAACTGTGAGTCGTCAAGAAAACTTCCAAGAAGTTCCTAAACTGAACTAGCTGTGTTTGCTTTAACACCGGGATAGTATTATGGATCGACAGATTATTTTCTGGACAAACAGCAACAGAGAGGGCAAGATTCAGCCTATGCTATGTAATTAGCAGAAAATAGGAAAGTTCATTTGAGGATACCCTCCATATGCTCATAGTATGTTAAACATTTTGATCAATCAAGCCATTGATCAAGTTCCCTTTTTTAAACTATTATAGAGATTTCCAGCACTGCTTCAATCTTGTGTCATAGTTTTATACAAGCTTCATTCCACAAACCCTGAATTTTTGCCGAATATGTGCTGTGTTTCTGATAATACCTAAAACCACACGTGGTCATATTTATTCAGATCTTAATTCAGAGTTCAGTTTCTTTCATCATGGTTACAACAGCAGAAAGAGAATTGGTTTCTTTGCTCTGGTACTGCTATTATTAGATTTTTTTTTTTAATGCAGAATGAGCCTCTATTAAATAGCTGAAACCAAAATGCTTTCTATAACCTAGTTTTGGGGAAAGTAATGGAATGTCTTCAATTCAGGAACATCTGTGGGGGAGGGGTTGAGTGTGGGTCAGAGTATTGCAACACAAGCCTTTTATACGTGTATTCCAATACAGCATGTGTGACCCCAAAGAATTTTGGGGTGTGATGCTGCAGTTCAGATTTTGCCATTCTAATCTCTCTGTATGTCATTCCTTCAAGTTGATCTGTGTTTTGCTATACTTGCTATAGATCGATAGAACAATTTTTTCACTCTCAGAATTGGAGTTGACTCATCTATATTTCCTATTTTATATCAGGCTTAACACAATAAAAGTTTAAAGAATATGTCACCTAGTGCATTTGGGGTCATTTTTAATTGCACACTCACTTAAAGATGATCAAGGCTAAAATAAACAGAACTGAGCATATTCTAAGCATTGTATACAAAAATGAATGAAATAGTGAAGTTTGTAGTAGTTATGTATGGTCAACATTTACACTGGTGATGTTTTATAACCTCTCAAATGAGAAAACACTCATAATACGGAGAAAAAAACTCAATAAGGAAATGGACAGTATATGCAAATTTTTTTTCCTGAAGACTGTCATGCTTTTCCAAGCTTTACAAGGCACTATGCAACAATGTTTGTGTGTGTGCATTTTATGTGTGTATTTCTAGTCACCAAGAAACTAAGAAAATGTAAATCTCCAAATCTGAAACACTAGAAAATAAGCTCTCCTGAATACAATGGGATTTCCAAGTAAGTATGCATATTCAATAAAGCGATAATTCTTCATTTCTGATTTCAGAATTATAGTGTATGTGCCCAAATGCAAATACTTACAGTGTTTCTGATATATAACACTGGTAGAACTCTAGGAAAATGAATAATTTCCTTATATCATCTCTGTAAAATGATTTACAGATTATCATATTTTATAATTTTAAAGGTATTTTTAATATCCTTATTTCAAGGAGCTTGAACTCGGTATTCTTTGTCTTGTTAATGTGTTATTTTGCAAACCAGTGAGACTTGCTTATAAAACAAACCTCCCAGAGTTTTTCCATTACTATCAAATTTTAAATCTTCTAAAAGTAAACATAATTAAAATGAATTAGAAGTGGGCAATGCCTTGTAATAGCTTATTGAGAACATTCTCAATTCACTGTTTTATTTAACACGATAGAGTCTAGAGGTCAATAGTATGAAAGACTTTTGTTGGCAACAAGACAAAAGCATAAAACTTAATTTTCAATCCCTAATTAGCCTCTTGAGCCATCATGGCTGCAAAATAATTGCAAAGACTATACCTACTTAATTCTTGAAAAGTTGTTTAATCCTACAGAGTCCTGTTCAGTCCCGTTTCTAAGAAACACCATAATTTTAACTTCTTACAAAGGCAGAACAGAACCCGATATCACTAAACCTGTGAGCTTTTATAATTAATATACAAGTGAGACTCAATTTTAGTAGTTTGACTGATGGGTGAACAATTCAAAGCATAAGCAAGGCTACATTAAAGTGGTAGAAAAAAGTACTATCTGAAATTAGTAATAATATTTTTTCAAAGCTGATATAAATATATAAATTGATTTTTAAAGGCAGCTCATTAGAATTGTTAAACCTGCAACTAGAGGAATTAATTTAATTTCCACACTGGTTCTGAAAAAAAGTCAAAGTAGGAAACATTAGGTTGCTGTTTATCATCAGCCAACTTCATTGCTTAAACACCTTTTGCCAATTTAGTCTGAGCAAATTACAGATTTACAACTTTACGCAACTGAATTTTTAATTACATTTGCATCACAGTGAGAACATGAATCAAGTGTAAAGAAAATAATGTGAAAATTGCATTCCTAAAACACTTTGAATGCTATTCTGCGACCCACTTATACAGAAGCACTCTTGAATTCCAAAGGCTTCATTTATAGATAAGCTTATACCGAACTGCAAGCTTAACATTAACATTTTATTGGATTCATGTGGGACTTAGTTCTGAATAAATATATGAGAGTTTAGAGTCAAATTGTAGATGTTGCTAGTCAGGAGGTTTAATAAAGGTACTTATTTTGGTTACTTTTATTTTATTTAATTCTGAACTGAGAGGTAATTTTGCACATGACCTGAATTAGTTGTAAATGGTTATTACATTAGTTTTTTGTTGAGAGTGGTCTGATGTGACTCAGGCAACAAACATATTGTGATGATTCATCCCCTAATTTATAAATTGAAATAATTAATAGGAAGAATGGGTAGAAATGTCACCTATTGCATGGGTGTCAAACTCACGGCATCACATTGCTGTCACGTGATGTTTGCAATAGTTTTCCCATTCATGGAGCTGAGATGGGTGTGGTCTGCGTGTGACGCATCTGGCCTGAAGGCTGCCAGTTTGACACCTCTGACCTACAGCAATAGTTGATGCTTATGTAACCTTTCTGCAGGTTAGAGGAGAGCTTGCTTCCTATTTATATCTTTGGTGCTTCCAAGTTAGATTTGGGTCTGGAGTAGCCAGGGTTACCATCAACAGCTGCCTACTTTTTGGTGACTCCTTTCTAACTGTTTTCTTCTGGGGGTGGTGGGGAAAGCTTTTTCCTTCATAGGAACAAAATTCACAAGAGAAGAAGACAACAAGAACCTACTCTTCCTGGATATTGTCATATAGGAAACAATGGCGGGTAACAAACCCAAATATATTGAAAAATAACCCATGGTAACCAAGTGCTTCAAAAGGAGCTGCATTGAATCCCACCAAGCTCAAGGTTGACTCAGCCTTCCATCCTTCCAAGGTCTCAAATTGTTGGAGGCAATATGCTGACTCTGTAAACTGCTTAGAGAGGGCTGTAAAACACTATCAAGCAGTATAGAAGTCTAAGTGCTATTGCTATTATTCAGTCAAGCAAAAACACACCGCAGTATCCCAAAGGAAGCAGGCTACTTATACAACCTCTTCCAATGCAATTGATACTGATGCAACTTTTATTAGCACACAACCTTTCATAACACAGCCATCACAATCCATTAAAAGGATAACTTTGCCATATTTAAAAAACTTATCTGAGACAACCAGTGGACTATTAAAATGCTTTTGCACTGATCACTTGCATACAAACTAATGAAATCCCTAAAAAAAAAACCTCAAAAAAACTGAAAGATGTGGTAACCAGAAAAGAATCAAAAGGAGTCATCTATTATGAACAACACAAGGACTGTAATAGCTACTACATAGAACAAGCCAATACAACACTGGCCAGCAAGCAGATTGTTTCCTGAATAAGTCTCCAGACAATTTATGGGTAGCAATACACTCATATATTTTAAGACAGAAAATTATTAAATGTTCTAAAACTAAAAATTACAAATATTAACATGTAGGCCTAAAATATTTTAAACTATGACTTAATTCTTTAAAATAGTTAACTAAATAGAATAAAAACTTGCTCCAAATCAAATTCTTACCACATACAGGAATTATGTAATTTATCATGTCATGTTGGGCAGATTCACTTTTCCCTTTAACTTGGCTACCCTAACTGCAAAGAAAGCAATCCATGGTGTCACAAACAAGTTGGAACCTTTAAGAGGAAATTCAATTTATTTTTAACATTCCAATTCCTCATATCATCAAAGAACCAAAATAATTAATCATCCCTATATTTAGCTTACAACCGGCATTCAAATGGGTAATGTGGCAGATGTTCTATTTCACGTGGTCTGCAAATATTGGCTCTATCTTGTAATGAGATGATTGGGAATCTGCTTTTTTGCATCATTTTACACATTTCCTCAAATCAGACATGAGTAAAGATTATAT